CAGGCTTGCATAAATAAATAATCTATATCTATATCTATCTAGCTATCATTCATCAGTTCTCTCTATCTATCTATCTATCTATCTATCTATCTATCTATCATGAGGTCACTAAGTCGGAAGCAACTGAACAAATAATCTATTTCTGTATCTTTATGTATCTATCATCAATCTCTCTTTGTCATCCATCTGTTATCTATATTTATTATCTATCTATCTCTATCTATCTATCTATCTCTATCTATCATCTATCTATCATCTATCTATCTATCTATCTATCTATCTATCTATCTATCTATCTATCTATATCTATCAGGCTTGCAAGGGACATTAAAACAATAAAAAGGGCTTCTTTGCTTACGTCAATAGAAAAAGGAAGAATAAGGAGGTGATAGGGCCTCTTTGAGAAGATGGGGCAATGATGACAGGGGATAGGGAAAAGGCAGATCTACTTAATGCCTTCTTTGCCTCTGTCTTCTCACAAATAGAAAGTCATCTTCAACCTCAGCAAGATGGAGTGGATGAGGGATTAGAGGACATCCAACCCCAAATTGGGAAACAAGTCATCCAGGAATACCTGGCCGCTCTAAATGAGCAAAGATACAGAATGGGGGGCAATGCCTGGCTCGAGAGCAATACGTGTGAAAAAGATCTTGGGGTCCTCATGGACAACAAGTTAAGCATGAGCCAACAATGTGATGTGGTGGCAAAAAAAGCCAATGGGATTTTGGCCTGCATCAATAGGAGTATAATGTCTAGATCCAGGGAAGTCATGCTCCCCCTCTATTCTGCCTTGTTAGACCACAGCTGTGTTGTATACACCAAGAAAATCCAACAAATGCTACGTTCAGCAAAGGACGAGAGGGATCCTCTTGCTTTTGCAGGAGTCTACTGTACACCATGCAGCTGTGGACAACTCTACAGAGGGACCACCAAACGCAGCATTGCCCAAACACGAATCAAGGAACATGAAAGGCACTGCAGACTATTTCAACCAGAGAAACCAGCCGTAGCAGAGCACCGGATGAGCCAACCTGGACACAGCATATTATTTGAGAACACAGAAATGCTGGACCACTCTCACAACCACCATGTCAGACTACACAGAGAAGCCATTGAAATCCACAAGCATGTGGACAGTTTCAACAGAAAGGAAGAAACCATGAAAATGAACAAAATCTGGCTACCGGTATTTAAAAACTCTAAAATTACAACAACAAAACAACAGAGAGGAAACTATCAGGGACAGCTAATCACCTCTCAACAAAAGATTGCCCCAGGCACTAACAAGCCCAGGGGCGGCTCAACCCATTACGCAAAGTAAGCATTTGCAGTATTGTTGATTTTGCCCAGGGGCGCTCTTGAGGCGCTTTGGGCAAAAAATAGACTTTGACATATGCGAGTTGTAGTTACTGGGATGTATAGGTCACCTACAATCAAAGAGCATTCTGAACTCCACCAATGATGGAATTGAACCAAATATGGCACACAGAACTCCCACGACGAACAGAAAATATTGGTTGGGGGGGGGGGGTGCCAAAATACTGTTTGCTTACCATTGAAAATTACCTAGGGCTGCCTCTGAACAAGCCACACCAAAAAACTGCCAGGCCATCAAACGCTAATCAAGGTGGTCAGTTGAAGCATTCACACGTAGCTCCAGCAGACAAGAGTTCTTTGTCTCACAGTGGTCATTCCACAGATATATAAACTGGGACATCCATACGGAGACCAAGGTGCTTGTTTATAAAGCTATTGTCCTCCCAACCCTGCTATATGCCTGCGAAACGTGGACTGGCTACAGACATCACATGCAACTCCTGGAGTGATTCCATCAGCGTTGCCTCTGGAAAATCCTGCAAATCTTTTGGGAAGACAAGTGGACAAACGTCAGCGTGCTGGAAGAAGCAAAGACCACCAGCATTGAAGCGATGGTCCTCCGCCATCAACTCCGCTGGGCCGGCCACGTTGTCCGGATGCCTGACCACTGTCTCCCAAAGCAGTTGCTCTACTCCGAACTCAAGAACGGAAAACGGAATGTTGGTGGGCAGGAAAAGAGATTTAAAGACGGGCTCAAAGCCAACCTTAAAAACTCTGGCATAGACACTGAGAACTGGGAAGCCCTGGCCCTTGAGTGCTCCAGCTGGAGGTCAGCTGTGACCAGCAGTGCTGTAGAAATCGAAGAGGCATGAATGGAGGGTGAAAGAGAGAAACGTGCCAAGAGGAAGGTGCGCCAGGCCAACCCCGACAGAGACCGCCTTCCACTTGGAAACCAATGCCCTCACTGCGGAAGAAGATTCAGAGCAAGAATAGGGCTCCACAGTCACCTACGGATCCAACGACTTTGGAGGACCACCATCGAGGGATCGCCTAAGTAAGTTAGTCAGCAGTGCCTAAAACCTTGGCCTGCACTTAAACACAATTGGCACTGACAAAATTACCGTCTGCCAGCTGCAGAAGGCCACCTTATCTATTTCTATCTCTATTACCTATCTATCTCTATCTATTTCTAACATTTCAATTGGTGAAACCCGAGGATGTGGACAAGATACTTGGAGGAATGAGGCCTACCGCATGCATCCTAGACCCCTGCCCATCCTGGCTTTTGAAGGAAGCCAGAGGGGGATTGGCTGAGTGGTGGTTAATGCCTCCCTTTGGGAAGGCAACATTCAGCGAGCTTAAAACAAGCTATAATAAAACCACTGTTAAAAAAACCATCACTGGACCCCACTCAATTCGTCAACTATTGGCCTGTTTCCAATCTCCCCTTTTTGGGCAAAGTCCTGGAACGTGTGGTGGCCTCACAACTCCAGGTATTCTTGGAAGACACGGATTATCTGGATCCGGCACAGTTTGGCTTTAGGCTGGGACATGGAATTGAAACAGTCTTGGTCGCCTTAGTGGATGATCTTCGCCGGGAGCTAGACAGGGGGAGTGTGTCCCTGCTAGTACTGCTGGACCTCTCAGCGGCCTTCGATACCATCAACCACGGTATCCTTCTGGGACGCCTCTCAGGAATGGGAAGGTGTTGCTGGGGGACACCTGTTCTGCCCCACAACCATTGTCTTATGGGGTTCCACAGGGATCAATATTGTCTCCCATGTTGTTTAACATCTACATGAAGCCGCTGGGGGAGATCATCCGGAGTTTCGGGGTACGGTGTCATCTGTATGCAGATGATGTCCAACTCTGTCACTCCTTTCCACCTGCTACTAAGGAGGCTGTCCAGGTCCTGAACCAATGCTTGGCCGCTGTAATGGTCTGGATGAGGGCGAACAAATTGAAATTGAATCCAGACAAGACAGAGGTACTCCTGGTCAGTCGTAAGGCCGAACAAGGCATAGGGTTACAGCCTGTGTTGGATGGGGTCACACTCCCCCTGAAGACGCAGGTTCGCAGCATGGATGTGATCTTGGACTCATCGCTGAGCCTGGAACCCCAGGTTTCAGCGGTGACCAGGGGAGCATTCGCAGTTAAAACTTGTGCGCCAGCTGCGCCTGTGCCTTGGGAAGTCTGACTTGGCCACGGTGTCCACGCTGTGCTTACATCCCACATAGACTACTGCAACGCTCTCTACGTGGGGTTGCTTTTGAAGACTGCTCGGAAGCTTCAAATGGTCCAACGATCAGCAGCCAGGTTACTAACAGGAGTGGCAGTCAGGGAGCATACTACTCCTCTGTTGCGCCAGCTCCACTGGCTGCCAATTTGCTACCGGGCACAATTCAAAGTGCTGGCTTTAGCCTATAAAGCCCTAAACGGTTCTGGCCCTACTTACCTCTCCGAACGCATCTCCTCCTATGAACCGACCAGGACACTAAGATCATCTGGGGAGGCCCTGCTCTCTGTCCTGCCTGCATCACAGGCGCGCTTGGCGGGGACGAGAGACAGGGCCTTCTCAGTGGTGGCCCCTCGGCTGTGGAATGCCCTGCCTGCAGATATCAGATCGGCCCCCTCCCTGCTGGCGTTTCGGAGGAAAGTGAAGACCTGGCTGTTCGAACAAGCATTTGATTAAACGGTGTAATTGAACATAGGAATACGGAATAATGGATGATGAGACTGGATTCTGATTTTACTGTTGAGGCGCTAATGATTGTTATACGGATGTTTAATGATTCATGTGATAATTGTTGTTAATTGCCCTGTACTTGTCTTGTGATGTTTTGTACTGATGTTGTTCACCGCTTTGAGTCGCCTGAGGGCTGAGAAAAGCGGTATAGAAATAAAGTAAATAAATACCTACCTGTATCCCTTAAGGTAAAGGCAAAGGTAGTCCCCTGACATTAAGTCCAGTCATGTCTGACTCTGGGGTGTGGTGCTCATCTCCATTTCTAAGCCGAAGAGCCAGCGTTGTCCGTAGACACCTCCAAGGTCATGTGGCCGGCATGACTGCATGGAGCGCCCTTACCTTCCCGCCGGAGCGGTACCTATTGATCTACTCACATTTGCATGTTTTCGAACTGCTAGGTTGGCAGAAGCTAGGGCTGACAGCGGAAGCTCACGCCGCTCCCCGGAATCGAACCTGCGACCTTTCGATCAACAAGCTCAGCATCTCAGTGCTTTAACCCACTGCGCCACCGGGGGCTCCAGGGGATGTATCCCTTATCATCTATCTATTTCTATCTATCCTCCACCTCTATGTATCTATCCTTATATGCCTCTATCTATCATCCATCTGCTATCTATCATTTCTATCTAGCTCTTGTTTCTATCTGTGCCCTCTCTCTCTCTTTCTTGGGGGTCCGACTAGATGCCCTTAGGAGTTCCCTCCCTCCCTGCCCACTCTGTAGCTCTAGCTCTGCAGCCCCTCCTTCCACCCCCTTTCCTATTTTCCTTGCAGGAATCCAGGGAAGGGAGGAAGGAAGGAGTTAGGGGAGAATGCCTCCACGCCCCCTCCCTCCTTCCCACCCTGTGATTGACAGGCGGCGTCAGATGACTCTCCAGCCAGCCAATGGGAGCGGGGGACTCCCTCCTTCCTTCCCTCCTTCCCTCCCTCTCTCTCTCCTTCTTCCCCCCTTTTTGCATCCCTCATTCTCAAACAGACCCGGATCTTCTCTGCCTGGTTGCAGAGCTGGAGTGGGCATGCCTGGGGAGCCAAGGCCATGGATGAGCCCAGCATCCTCAGGAGGAGGGGCCTGCAGGTGAGTGCCAAAGGTGCCATGCCATGCCAGGCACAAGAGGGAGTGCCTCTGGGCATGTGCAGAGTGCCCCTTTCCTCTCCCCCCCCCCTTTCTTCCTTATTTTGGGGTTGGGGTGCAGTGACCACTCCTGCCAAGGGAAAGCAGCATCCTGATGCTCCCTCCCAATCAATGAATGCAAAGCCCATCATCCCCTCCCTCTTCCATTGGCAAGTCCAGCAGCATCTTAACATATATCTATCTATCCATCCATCCATCTATCTATGTGTGTGTGTGTTTTATATATGTACCAAAATATATATTTAGTGGAATATATATATGTATACACACATACACATACCAAAAAACTACTAATAATATTTGTGATCATATATATATGCCAAAATATATATTTGGTGGAATATATCTATCTATCTATATATATATACATACACATACCTAAAAACTACTAATGATATTTGTGATATATGTGTGTGTATATATATATATATATCTTTATATATACATATATATACACCAAATATATACCTTTGGTGGAATATATATATTTATATATATATATATACACACACATATACCAAAAAACTACTAATGATATTTGTGATTATATATATGCCAAAATATATATTTGGTGGAATATCTATATCTATATATATATATATATATATATATATATATACACATACACATACCAAAAAACTACTAATGATATTTGCGATTATATATATATGTCAAAATATATATATTGTGGAATATATCTATCTATATATATATACATACACATACCTAAAAACTACTAATTTTATTTGTGATATATGTGTGTGTGTGATACACCAAATATATATACCTTTGGTGGAATATATACACACACATATACCAAAAACTACTAATTATATTTGTGATTATATATATGCCAAAATATATATTTGGTGGAATATATCTATCTATCTATCTATCTATCTATCTATCTATCTATCTATCTATATATAGATATACATACACATACCTAAAAACTACTAATTATATTTGTGATATATGTGTGTGAGTATATATATATATATATACCAAATATATATCTTTGGTGGAATATATACACACACACACATATACCAAAAAACTACTAATGATATTTGTGATATATGTGTATATACCAAATATATACCTTTGGTGGAATATATATATATATACACACACACACACACAAATACCAAAAAACTACTAATGATATTTGTGATTATATATATATGTCAAAATATATATTTGGTGGAATATATATATCTGTATATACACATACACATGCCTAAAAACTACTAATTATATTTGTGATATATGTGTGTGTATATATACCTTTGGTGGAATATATATATATATATATACACACACACACACACATATACCAAAAAACTACTAATTATATTTGTGATATATGTGTGTGTGTGTGTATATATATATATATATATATACCAAATATATACCTTTGGTGGAATATATATATTTATATATATATATACACACACACATATACCAAAAAACTACTAATGATATTTGTGATATATGTGTATATTTATATATATACCAAATATATATCATTGGTGATATATATATATATATATATATATATATATATATATATATGTCTTTGGTGGAATATATATATATCATTACTATTTTTTGGTGTGTGTGTGTATCTATATATATATTCCACCAAATATATTATATATATAAACACATACAAAAATATATCTTTGGAGGAATGTGTGTGTGTGTGTGTGTGTATATATATATATATATACACTCACATACTAAAATACTAATGATATTTGTGATTGATACATATATATTACACATATAAACACATACAAAAATATATCTTTGGAGGAATGTATATCTATATATGTATATATATAAATCACAAATATCATTAGTATTTTTTGTATGCATGTGTGTGTATGTGAACACATACAAAAATATAACTTTGGAGGAATGTGTGTTTGTATATATATACATACACACATACAAAAAATACTAATATTTGTGATAATAATATATAATACCAAAATATATCTTTGTTGAAATTTAATATGTTTTTAAACTGAATTTTTGTTGCTTATTTTTTAATATTTAAATATATATTTTAAATAGTTAATATATTTGCATATTTTTAAAGTTGTCTTGAAATGCCATTTAATTATCTCTGTTTTGTGGAGAGAAGAAGCAGGGTCTCAATAATAATAATAATAATAATAATAATAATAATAATAATAATGTATTATTGTTATGTAATAGATTATATAATAATTAGTACATTTTAATAATAATAATGGATACATAGTCTCTTTGTGGAGAGAAATATTTGTGTATTTATTTTGTATGAATATTTCCATGATTACTTTTGTAAATTTATTATTTCATTTTGATGAGTTTGATTATTATTTTTGGTAAATATTTTTTTGAACTTTTGAGTGAATATTTTTTGTAAATATTTTATGTGAATATTTTTCTGATTATTTTTGTGAATATTTTTCTGATTGTTTTTGTGAATATTTTCCTGATCATTTTTGTGAATATTTTTCTGATTATTTTTGTGAATATTTTTCTGATTATTTTTGTGAATATTTTTCCGATTGTTTTTGTGAATATTTTCCTGATCATTTTTTCAATTTTTTTTTGCGAATAATTTTTGTCAATATTTTTGGGAATATTTTTCTGAATGTTTTTGGTGAATATTTTAGTGAATAGGTTCATGATGATTTTTGTGAATATGTTGTACATAAACATAATGATAAAAATGTAATGTAATAATAATAATAATAATAATAATAATAATAATACATTCTAATATTAATAATAGATACATAGCTGCTTTGAGTCTCCTGGTGGAGAGAAAAAGCAGGGTATAAACAAATATAATCATAATATAATATATAATATAATATAATAAATATAATGTAATAAATAAAATAATAATGGGTTGCTGTCAGTTTTCCGGGCTGTATGGCCATGTCCCAGCAGCATTCTCTCCTGACGTTTCACCCACATCTATGGCAGGCATCCTCAGAAGTTGTGAGGTCTGTTGGAAACTGGCATCTTGCAGCTGCTATTAAGGATCTCCCAAGGCAGCAACCAGTTAGGCTTTGAAGCTACAAGGCCATTCAATGCTAATCAAGGTGGCCAATTGCAACATTTCCACATGCATCGAGCAGACAAGAGACACATCATTCCACAGATATATAAAGCCCACTTGCCTAGTTTCCAACAGACCCCTCAACCTCTGAGGATGCCTTCCATAGATGTGGGTGAAATGTCAGGAGAGAATGCTTCTGGAACATGGCCGTACAGCTCGGAAAATCTCACAGCAACCCAGTGATTCTGGCCATGAAAGCCTTCGACAACCCAATAAATAATATAACAATGTATGTTTTCGGCAAAGTGTGTTATGCAGTCATGTTATGAAACGTCCCTATTTTAATATACATATAATTTTATATTATATAATATATTATTATATATGATATTTATTTGTTATTTTATTTGTAATGTTACACATAAACAATAATAATATTATAATGTCTATGAGATTATCTGTTATCATATTATATTATATATTTTATTTGTAATATATGTTATATATATTATTTCATTTATATAATCTTTTATATAATTCTATAATAATTATATTATTATTATTATTATTTTTAGAATATTTATAATTATATTATTATTACAGTTAAAGTATTATTCTATTTATATTATATATTATTTTGTTATAATTATATTAATTTATATATATTATAATATATATATTATGTTTATTTATTATTTTATTTATAATATATGTTATATTATAGTGTCTATATCTATCAGAAGGATGTTGGTTGGGTGGCTCTATGATACAGCCTTAGTTCTATAGCCTTATTTCTCCAATGTGCCTTCTAATGTCTATGTGGCTGGATGACCATCTGTCGGGAGGATTAGATGGTGTCTTCAGTGGAAAAAGGGGGCTGGACTGGATGTTCTTTGGCAGTCCCTTCCAACTCTATTAAAACTCTATTCAGTGTTTTAATGCCTATATTGCTGGGTGATGATCTGTCAAGAGGGATTAGATTGTGCCTTTGGGTTCCTCCGAGGACACGCTGCGTCACACTTATGGGAGCTGGCAGTTGGCGTGTTTCGGGGACACACACACACTGCCTTGCACACTCCCGGCTACAGTGACGGCAATCGCTTGTGACACGGCAGCCTCTTTTCTCTCGTTTGCTTGGCTTGGATGGAGGTTTCCAATGAGGCCTGCCTGTCTTCTCTAAGAGCGGGATGGGTTGGATGCCCTCTGGGTGCCCCTCTCCAAGTCTATTGCAGATAACTTCATTGACCCTTTCCAAGACCCATCCTTTATACAGAGCTTGGAAGGGAGACGACTGGAAATATTACTATTACTAATATTAATATAATATAATATAATATTAATATTAATGTTAATAATATTAATAATATTAATATTATTAATATTATTATTATTATTATTATTATTATTAATAATAATATAATATAAATATCATACAGAGCTTGGAAGGGAGACGACTGGAAATATTACTATTACTAATATTAATATAATATAATATTAATATAATATTAATATTAATGATAATATTATTAATAATAATATTATTAATAATACTAATATAACATATCATACAGAGCTTGGAAGGGAGGCTATTGTTGTTATTAATATTGTATTAATATATTATATATTATTAATATTAGGTGGATTGCTCCTAGACATGGAGGCTCGACCAAGTATCACACAGAAGTTGTTGTTGTTGTTGTATTTTTTATATAGCTATAGACATAATTGTTTAGATTGTTCCTAGACATGGAGACTTGACATAACTTCATATAGATAGGAAGTAGTAGTAGTACTTGTTGTTGTTTAGACATGGAAATTTGACTTAGCATGGATGGGAGCCAGCTTCATAAAGATAGGTTGTTGTTGTTGTTGTTGTTGTTATTGAGTGGACTATTGAGTGGATGCTATGGGAGACTTCTAGAATTATTATTATTGTATTATTATTATATTATTATTATAATATTATATATATAATTATTATACTCTATTATTATTATTATTATTATTATTATTATTATTAGAATAATATATAGTTCAGCTAATAATATATACTATTGCAATATTAATATTATTGCAATAATAATAATAGCCTCCTTTCCAAGCTCTGTATGAGACTGGGTCAAGCCTCCATGTCTAGATGCAGTCTACCATAAGATATATATATATATATATATATATATATATATATATATATATATAAAATTATTATTATTATATGTATTATTAGCTGAACTGTGCGTAGAAATAGAGGCCTGGACCCAGTGTTTGGAAGGGAGGCTATTATTATTATTATTATTATTATTATTATTATTATTATTATTATATTTTTATTATTAGCTGAACTGTGCGTAGAAATAGAGCCTGGACCCAGTGCTTGGAGGGGACGCTATTATTATTATTATTATTATTAATTATTATTATATTTTTATTATTAGCTGAACTGTGTGTAGAAATAGAGCCTGGACCCAGTGCTTGGAAAGGAGGCTATTATTATTATTATTATTATTATTATTATTTATTATTATTATTATTATTATTATTATTTATTATATTTTTATTATTAGCTGAACTGTGCATAGAAATAGAGCCTGGACCCAGTGCTTGGAAAGGAGGCTATTATTATTATTATTATTATTATTATTATTATTATTATTATTATTATTATTATATTTTTATTATTAGCTGAACTGTGCGTAGAAATAGAGCCTGGACCCAGTGCTTGGAGGGGACGCTATTATTATTATTATTATTATTAATTATTATTATATTTTTATTATTAGCTGAACTGTGTGTAGAAATAGAGCCTGGACCCAGTGCTTGGAAAGGAGGCTATTATTATTATTATTATTATTATTATTATTATTATTATTTTTATTATTATTATTATTATTATTATTATATTTTTATTATTAGCTGAACTGTGCATAGAAATAGAGCCTGGACCCAGTGCTTGGAGGGGACGCTATTATTATTATTATTATTATTAATTATTATTATATTTTTATTATTAGCTGAACTGTGCGTAGAAATAGAGCCTGGACCCAGTGCTTGGAGGGGACGCTATTATTATTATTATTATTATTAATTATTATTATATTTTTATTATTAGCTGAACTGTGTGTAGAAATAGAGCCTGGACCCAGTGCTTGGAAAGGAGGCTATTATTATTATTATTATTATTATTATTATTATTATTATTATATTTTTATTATTAGCTGAACTGTGCATAGAAATAGAGCCTGGACCCAGTGCTTGGAAAGGAGGCTATTATTATTATTATTATTATATTATTATTATTATTATTATTATTATTATTATTATTATTTTTATATAATTAATAAGTTGTTTCTGCTATTGTTGTTATTTAGACGGCTCCTTTAGACCATGATAAATAAATGCATTTGAATGGTCATCTAATGGGTAGAAGCAACACTCTAGCTTTGTTCTCATTGCCTTCCACTGTTGGGAGCATGCCTTGGCTTAAGGTCACACTCTCTCAGCCTCAGATCTTGCCATTTCTGGCTTCAGATCTCTGCTTTATTTCTATTTTTTTTTCCACAGAAGGAGCTGAGTCTGCCGCGCCGCGGAAAGACGTGAGTATCCCTTTCTTTAATTCCTTCCTTGCATTGCTTTAAATGTATTTTCTTGCATGGTTTCATTTTGGGCTGGACTAGATGATCTTTGGGGGCCCCTTTTTGGAGAGCGAAGGAGGAGGAGGAGTGACAGATAGGAGGGGCTTGGCCAGGAGAAGGAGGCGGGCCCTCCTCCTTCCTGGCACCCATCTGTCAATCATGCCGGGCCGGCGGGCCAAGCTCCAGCTCCCTTTGCTGACCCTTGAGTGAGTATTCTGATTGGGGAGGATGATGAGGATAATGATGATGATGATGATGCACATCTGGGTTGCTAGGAAGCCAGATGGGAAAGGAAGGGGGAGAGAGGGAGGAAAGATCGTTGGAGGCTTCCTGGTTTATATTATTATTATTATTATTATTATTATTATTTTATATTATTATTGTTGTTGTTGTTGTTGTTATTATTATTATTATTAGATATTATTATATTATTATATATTATGTTGATATTATTTTATTCTATTAATTATTATATTTTATGTAATATGTAATATATAATTTTAGGCATTATTATATTATATTAGCTGCCCAGAGTCTCTTCCCCGGGGGGTTGAGAAGAGTGGGGTACAAATATCAGAAATAAATAAAGATATTATCATATGAGTATATATTATATTGATATTATTTCATTATATTAATTTATATTTATTATTATATTTTATGATTTTATGTAATATTCTTATTATAACTTATTATTATGTATTATTCAATTATTATATATTTATAATAATAATATTTTTATGGTTTATGTATTATTATTACTGTATTATAAATGACGTATATATTATATTTATTATTATTATATTTTATGGTTTATGTATTATTATTACTGTATTATAAATGACGTATATATTGTATTTATTATTATTATATTTTATGATTTATGTATTATTATTACTGTATTATAAATGACGTATTTAATTATATTATTATATTTATATTCTTTCATTACCTTAATTTGTATTTATTATTATATTTTATGATTTTATGTAATATTTTTATTCTTATTATAACTTATTATTATGTATTATTCAATTATTATATATCATATTTATTATTATTATATTTTATGGTTTATGTATTATTATTACTGTATTATAAATGACGTATTTAATTATATTATTATATTTATATTCTTTCATTACATTAATTTGTATTTATTGTTATTATATTTTATGATTTTATTTAATATTCTTATTCTTATTATAACAGTTATAATAAGAAGAAGAATATTACATAAAACCATAAAATACAATAACAATAAATACAAATTAATATAATGAAAGAATATAAATATAGTAATATAATACATCATTTATAATACAGTAATAATGCATAAACCATAAAATAAAATAATAATAAATATAATATATAATACATAATAATAAGTTATATTATAACTTATGTGTTATTCAATTATTATATATTATATTTATTATTATTATATTTTATGGTTTTATGTAATATTCTTATTCTTATTATAACAGTTATAATAATAAGAAGAATATTACATAAAACCATAAAATATAATAACAATAAATACAAATTAATATAATGAAAGAATATAAATATAGTAATAAAATACATCATTTATAATGCGGTAATAATGCATAAACCATAAAATATAATAATAATAAATATAATATATAATAATTGAATAATACAGAATAATAAGTTATATTATAACTTATTATTATGTATTATTCAATTATTATATATTTATTATGTATTATATTTATTATATCTTATATTATTATATATTATTATATATATATTATATATATTATTATATTTATTATGTATTATTCATTTATTATATATTATATTTATTATTATATTTTATGGTTTATTTATTATTATTACTGTATTATAAATGACGTATTAAATTATATTATTATATTTATATTCTTTCATTATATTAATTTGTATTTATTGTTATTATATTTTATGGTTTTATGTAATATTACTATTATAAATTATTATTATTTATTATTATATTATTTATTATTATTATATTATATTTTATGGTGTTATATTATCATTATCATTATTATTATTATTATTATTATTTATTGTGCAAAGTTACTTTTTTCCAGCAGCAAAGGCTTTTCTCCACTTGGCCTTTGCTCCTCTAAGGGGATTAATGAATAACTGTAGGCTGTATTATTATTATTCCTCTTCTTCCCTGGCTGGGTGTTGGGCACCTGTATTTCTTGCAGCTTGGTTTCCTGTTATTTTGCAATATTATTACATAACATATTTATTCATATTATTTTGGGGTATCTCTGTTCCTCATTGCTTGTCCCAAAATGCCTCCCCAAAGAGGCAGAAATGCGGTGTGTCCTTCCACCTTGAAGGGCTGCACTAATAATAATAATAACAATAACAATATATTAGATTATATTATGGTATAATTATATTTTTATGATTTTATTATTATATAGTTATAGTATTATGTTATAATTTTATTATATTATTACTATATTACATTATTATTATTAGGCTATTATTATATAACATATAATAATTATATTATTGTAATATAGTTTTAGAATTATTATATTATGATTATATTATATTAATATAATAGATAATACAATAATATATTATATTTTATTATTATATTTTATTTTACTGTAGTTATAATATTATATGATTAATATATTATTATCTGTATTATTATTACTATTGTATATTATATTATTTTTATTATTATATTACATTATATTATATTTACATTTTTATGTATATAAACCTACAACAACCCGGCTAATGTGTGTGTTTGTGTGTGTGTGTGTGTGTGTGTATATATATAATATAAATATAATATAACAATAAAATAATATAATATACAATAGTAATAATAATACACACACACACGCATATATAAAAAGCCGGGAGATAGATAGATAGATAGATAGATAGATAGATATTAGCCGGGTTGTTTTAGGTTTTTTTGGGCTATATGGCCATGGTCTAGAGGCATTCTCTCCTGACGTTTCGCCTGCATCTGTGGCAAGCATCCTCAGTGGTAGTGAGATCTGTTGGAACTAGGAAAAAGGGTTTATATATCTGTGGAGTGGCCAGGGTGGGACAAAGGACTCTTGTCTGCTGGAGCTAGGTGTGAATGTTTCAACTGATCACCTTGATTAGCATTTGATTGCCTGGCAGTGCCTGGAGCAATCTTTTGTTGAGAGACCATTAGATGTCCCTGTCTCTTTCCTCTCTGTTGTTGTGCTGTTCACCTCCTTCAAGATGAACTGAACCACCTCAACTGGGCTCTCCAGGCCAATGGAGACTCCACCTCAGAAGAGCTGGAGTTGAAACATTCACACCTAGCTCCAAACTACAAGCAGACAGACTACAAGCAGAGGCATAACACCGTTGCTCAGATGATTCATTGGAACTTGTGCCACAAATACCATCTGTCTGCAACAAAGAACTGGTGGGATCACAAGCCAGAAAAAGTTACAGAAAATGAACACGCCAAACTCCTCTGGGACTTCCGGATTCAGACAGACAAAGTTTTGGAGCATAACACTCCTGACCTCACGATCGTGTTAAAAAACAAAGTATGGATCGTCGATATTGCAATCCCAGGTGACAGCAGGATTGAAGAGAAACAACTGGAAAAGCTGACACAATATGAGGATTTAAAGATCGAACTGCAAAGACTTTGGCACAAACCAGTCAAGGTGGTCCCAGTGGTGATCGGCACACTGGGTGCAGTGCCTAAAGACCTTGGCCTGCACTTAAACACAATCGGTGCTAACAAAATTACCATCTGCCAGCTGCAGAAGGCCACCTAACTGGGATCTGCATTCATTATTCGCCGAGACACTTACCAAAGCCAGCGGACCTGATGGGATCCCTGCTGAAATCTTTAAAGAGGGAGGACCTGAGCTGACACAACAACTCCACCAGCTCATAGAAAAAGTGTGGGTGACTGAGAAAATACCAGCAGATTTCAAGGACGCCACCATCATCACCCTCTTCAAAAAAGGGGACAGAACAGACTGCGGAAACTATTGAGGTATCTCCCTTCTAACCTCCGCTGGGAAAATCCTCGCAAGAATCCTTGCAAACCTCATTAGACCCCTCTCAGAAGACACCCTCCCAAAATCCCAGAATGGCTTCCGCCCCTCCAGAGGAACCGTGGACAGGATCTTCACTGCACGACAGCTCCAAGAAAAAGGCAGGGAACAAAACCAACCTCTGTACATGGCATTCATCGACCTTGCAAAGGCATTCGACACAGTGAATCGCAGTGCTCTCTGGACCATCCTCTAAAAAATTGGGTGCCCTAACAAATTTGTGAACATCCTGTGGCTCCTCCACGATGACATGATGGCAACAGTCTTGGACAGCAATGGCTCCCAAAGTGACCCATTTAAGGTGGAATCGGGTGTCAAACAGGGATGTGTTATTGCCCCAACTTTACTCTCCATCTTCATCGCTATGATACTTCACCTTGTTGATGGGAAGCTTCCCACCGGAGTGGAAATCATCTATCGGACAGATGGCAAGCTATTCAACCTCAGCAGACTGAAAGCCAAAACCAAGGTTACGACAACATCTGTTATGGAACTCCAGTATGCTGATGACAACATCGTCTGTGCGCATTCAGAAGAAGATCTACAAGCCACTCTAAACACCTTCGCAGAAGCGTACGAGAAGCTCGGCCTGTCATTGAACATCAAGAAAACCAAAGTGCTTTTCCAGCAGACACCAGCCAATCCCTCTCCAGTGCCAGTGATACAGCCTAATGATGTAACATTAGAAAATGTTGACCATTTCTGCTCCCTTGGCAGCCACCTCTCCACCAAAGTCAACATCGACACCGAAATACAATGCTGCCTGAGCTCTGCGAGTGCAGCATTTTCCCGAATGAAGCAGAGAGCGTTTGAGGATCGGGACATCCGTAGGGATACCAAGGTGCTTGTCTATAAAGCTATTGTCCT